GACTATGGTACACATTTCTTGAACTTATCTTTGATCAAAAATCTATACTTATCTGTCTTTGGTCCAAAAACTCTAGACGAAAACATGGCACATCCATCTAGTAGTGGTACATATCTCTCGAGCCTAGAATTCGCATTTATCTCGTGGTCGAAATCCATGGTCAGTTATCTTTGCTCAAGACCTATTCGACAAATTGACTAATTGAGGGTAGCTGGCATGCATAGCTATCTCGAGTCGAAGCTGGCTAACCATGTGTTTGAGACCACTCGTGTATTTTATTAATTTTAGGAGTAAATTTATATGCAAAGTGTTGGTAACTCTATTGGTGATGTAGAGTGTGTGTAAGATCCAGGTTACGAGTTCGATTATTCTAAGTGAATTTCTTACTATTTTTAAAAAGTTAACTATTAATGGGCCAAAAAATTATTGTGTTTGGGCCCAAAATTTTTATGGTGAATTTGTTGGCATGTTTTGTGGAATCATGTTTACATACTCCGGTTGATCAACCCCTAAGTACTATTGTGCTTCTCTGTGCACTTGAAGCTTTACTAGAGTTATAAGTTTAAGTCTTACATAAACCCATCACATCAAGAGTTTTGTCGTTGTAGGGGCTAATTTGTTGCTTACAAAATTTTGATAAGAATTTAGTCTAAGATTTGCTTTCTTTTATTTGTTTCTAATTTTTTTTTTTCTGTTTCAGAGATTCATCAATAGAACATTATAATCTTTACTCTAGGGAAAAGGTCGGTCCTTACTATCGAGACCATTGGAGATTATATCCCTAAAACTACCAAACGCTCAACTTCACCAACATCTGGTACAATGCTCATATATACCAACATCAACCTTAGGAGGCTTATGAACGTGAAGGTTACCCTCACTACCATTATTAGGAACATCTACAACCACCACAACCAACTTAAGATCACGTCCTTTCAAATGCCCAAAAAAATCGTCCAAGAGGATGATGCAAAGATAGAGACTCTTAGTCAACTCTTGGAGAGAAATTTGATGCTCTTACTGCCTAAATTCTAGACATGGAATCATGTTTCGTCCAGATTGAAGATGTGTAGCGACGACATGTCCAAAAAATCCAAAACGATGCATATTGAAGAAGTGCAGCGACGACATGCCCAAAAAATCCAAAACGATGCAAAAAAATTCTACAAATTGGACAACACTTGGGATAATTTGGAATGGGAGACAAAGAACACTAATAAGAGCGTTGTTGAGCTTACTATTCATCAAAACTCAGTAGCAATGAAGGCGTATCAAGCTAAGAAATCCGTCAGTGAAGCTGGGATTATTCAAGGCGACACTCACTTGAAAGTGAAGGATTTGGAAGAAGACAATAGGTTGTCCGTGCAAACCCTCACGGCTTTTTTTAAATGAAGAATAATTATGAGGAACTCATTGTTGGTGAGACAAAAATCCTAAGAGGAGAATCAATTGATATCGTATGTTGAGCTTGGAAGAAACGGTCAACTTTTGCCTCGGTTTGGATTCAA